CTGATTCTTATCACGACTGAATTTCTAAACCTCATTCACGTTCCTCTATTTAGCAATATTTTAATACTTTTAGACACTCTTATTAAACTAAAGCTTAAAGGAAGAATACTGTCAGTGCATTAATGCGTCATATAATTGTCCAATTCCATATTAACCTATGAGATAAATTTCGTTTAATGAGAACTCATTATTAAGTTTTGTGTGTTTTATGCAGTTTGATATGTGAATTTTATTGTTTCTGGTGTAGCAAATATAAATAAATGAACACGATTTTATATATAGTTTTTTTCATCAAACGTTTTAACATGATAAAAACAATTCTAAGAAGTTATTTTGTTAGTTTTAGGATTATTATAGTTTTGGTACATATAATAATGTTGCTTAATAAAAAGTTTGATAAAATTGCTCTGTTTATTTTTTTTTCGTCGATAGGTAAGCACATAGGAAGGGAATATATAAGGTAGGTACGTACCAAGTGCTTGTAGACTCATGTTCCAACTTTTTTACCCAAACTAAACACGAAAAATCGATGTCTATGAATTTGATCGTTGCCAATGCAAAAATGGAAATTATCCGAATGTTGGGAGCCAAATATCCGAAATTATTCGACTGTTAGGAACCAAATATCCAAAATCATAAAAATCGAAAAAGAAGACTAATTGAATGGCATAATTGACAGTTGATTGACACATTGGTAGATGATAAATGATAAATTACAATTAAAATTAATATGACAAGTGGCAAGAAAACAAGTTTAGTTTGATAGAAATATATTTATGTAAATAAAAAAGAACAAATAATACATAAATACAGCAAATTAACAAATTATTTACCCTTAAAACCTATATTAAAAATACTTATTGTTTACATACATAATCTTACCCTTGAATTATCCGAAATTATCCAAAAAATTGTTTAATCCGAAAATTATTCGATGGTCCACGAAATTATCCGAAAATCGGATAATTATCCGGACATTAGCAACACAGCTCTGCTGTATGACTCTGTGTGGCGCACCCAGGTGCGGCGGTTTTGGAGGTTAACCCCCCCTCCCCCCCAGGGCATATAAAGTAAAAAATATATAAAGAATAGTAGGAAAATGTAACGTCATTCACACACAATACAAAAAATACAAAACGCTAATTAAATAATTAAATTATCACTTTAAATATGTAGATCACAATAATTATTGTATAAATACACAATAATTAAGAATGTTTTTCATTATATTTTAGATATAGATACCTAATATTACGTTTATGAAAAAGTAGACAGATCGAGTCAGTTGCTAGTAGCATGCGCATACACGACTGTGTCTGCGATGGCCTTGTGGACTATCACGGGTTGTGTTCCTTTGCATATGTTGGCAGTAGAAAACAGACATCTCTATGAGAGAAGAGAGCATTGGACAACAGCTATAAAAAAAAGAAGAAAGGGAAAGGGACGATGGCAAGAATAGTGGAACAACAATGACGATGTTGCCCAGTGGACCAAGATGCTGATCCCGAGACTAAGGGATTGAGTAGATTGTCTGTTTTAGGGCGTATCTTCATAGGTTAAGAAAGACAGGTACAGATATATTATAAATTCGGCTAAAAGGTGAATATTCCGACATTGTTACTCACACAATGCTGGAGTGTAATAAATGTACAGTGGAGAAAAACAGAATGTATAAAGAAATAGGTATGAACCCTTTGACTGCACGAAAACCACGTGCTTTGTATTCAACAGGTATACTAGCCACTCCTGGATATCTCCACTTCATGGTTTTTTCCTTTTTCACTTTTAATTTTAAGTTTATTAAATATATTCTCAAGAGACTCCAGCTAAATGTTAACAAAAAGTTTAAGTTGGTTGCCTACATTTGGCGCAAAATACCCATACATATAAACTAAACTACCGTAACATTTTTATAAAATATATTTTTATATTTCTTTATACATGCTATAAATTTCTAAGTCATAGTATAAGTTTGCAAAAGAGGTCGACGAAATACTCTAATGAAATGCGATATGAGCACGTATGCTTGGTTGTATAGTAATTTCCAGCCACTTCTAGTCTGTCAAAAAGTAACAACTTCGTAAAAACATAATTACTAAAATCACTAAACAGCTCGGACTGGGATTAGCGAACCGAGTATATGTATGAACGTATGAACTTTCTCTGCGGGAGTGACTAACCATAAATACAAACGAAGGAAAGCTTATTGCGAGCCTTGCACTAGTGATATTGCGCCAAATGTAGGCAACTTACAATTCCTCGTGTCAATACTGCCTTAAGGTCGATTCAGACACATCAGTCATGTCTCGTCACAGTGATTGCGCCGAACCGAACAATCCGTCATACAAAATATTCTTTAATACAAATATGTTGCCGGCATTCACACTCATCAGTTGACAAAACAGTTTCCCAGCTGTCAGATAGTTCTGTGACCAAACAGGACCGGTTCGGCGCCGAGACTATGACGGGACTGATGTGTCTGAATCGATCTTGAGTTTTAATATTTTTTTGACGTAATTTTCACTTCCACACATTGTCATACTCAATCACTATAGTTCGACCGTTTCATTAATATATTACTCATATTACACACATCGTTCTCTACATTTTGTTAATTTGAAGACAATAGACTCAAATAATACGGAGGTGAATCGTATCAATCATTTAAAATATCTATATCACTTCCCGGATTTGTTCGTTATTCTAAATTTCGAGTTATACTCTATTCACTGATCCCAGTGCCAAGTGCCCAGTTATCTAATAAACTTGTTGAATAATTTTTTGCTTCCTTGTCAAATTTTCACTTTTACATGTGACTGGAAGTTACGCTACAACCAAGCATACGTGCGTATAGCCAATATTAATTGTAACTTGTAAATTAAAAAGTTATCCACGTACACTGTATTAATGAATGAATAAATTTCGAGTTATACTCTATTCACTGATCCCAGTGCCAAGTGCCCAGTTATCTAATAAACTTGTTGAATAATTTTTTGCTTCCTTGTCAAATTTTCACTTTTACATGTGACTGGAAGTTACGCTACAACCAAGCATACGTGCGTATAGCCAATATTAATTGTAACTTGTAAATTAAAAAGTTATCCACGTACACTGTATTAATGAAATACAATTGCATCAATTGAAACAAAGATTTAAATGTCTATTTTTCAATTTTTTGGTAGTCTAGAGATTACACTACTGTGTACATTATTAGATTACACCACTGTGTATATTCTGTGACATTAAGTTTATTTCAGCTATTAATAAGGTGTGGTAGGAATTTTTGAGTTATATGTTGAGGTGAAAGTTAAGTAGAGTGTAAAGACCGTCTTATAGGAATGGATAATAGAACACCAGTGAAGACCAAGGAAGAAGTGGTTATAAAAAGCAGCATCGATGTTTGAGAAATCTTAAGATGGACAGCTGAAGACAGACATGCTAGTAGAGACCAGGGCTTAATTTGGGCTGTAAAGTCATTGGAAAGAGGAATATCTAATTAGTGTAGAAGGATGACATAAATGTTTTGGAAGGATGGCAGTAATAATAATTTTGTACTGATAGTCGAATCAGTTCTCTTTAATATATTCCACTTTTGATAGTTCCAACTTTTCCTTTACGGATTCCACTGCTAAAGTCTTTGTTAAAATGAGCGGCTCCTAATGCAGCCTATGAATATGAAACATGTACCCTCGACGCTCTAAGAGAATGGCGTATTAACACCAACATCTATTAGGCGGTTGCTCCATGTTTTGTGGAAAAACCATAATATGAACGTATAAGTTCTTGTGCAAATTCAAAAACTACTTTGACAATTAATAAGAAAAACTTGCGTAACCTAAATCACATTAAGAGATAAGAATGCTTTGAATTTCTTTATCTAATACAAAAAAGATAATTTCTCAATTCAAGGTCATTCATTTATTTCAATCCCATTAATTTCCTTTAAGTTCAATCTAAGTTTGCCTTTAATTTTCCCTGAATATAAATGTAAGATTCAAATATCCTCGTAGAAGGTTCAGAAGTATTCCAAAGCCGTCTACCACTATGTAGTCAATCTTAGTAAAAAGAGAGGTGCTAGTAGTCCTACTTACAGAAAGTATTTCCCTCTTATCATACAAGAATCGACTAAAAGGTAGATTATTTTATTGCATAAATAAAAAAACTTTTGAAGTATTTTCACTAATATATTACAAAAAGTATTCGCAAATTTACTTGCAAAACAAATTTAATATAAATTGAAAATAAAATATTTACAATTCATCAAATCATATTTCTTTTTGAAAATTTGACTAAATTCACAGACAGTTGAGGTTCAAACATTCTTAAAATATACCAGAAGTTTTATTTCTATTTTCTAAATCGTAAAATTTATATACGGTCGCGCTGACAACTGTTTTAACAGCAAAACGTAAGTTAATACATTTTCGGTACTTTATACATTGTTTTTATGATGTTTTAGTGACGTGATCATTCAAACGGGCACTATTTTGTACAATTACTTTAAATCGGATCATATTATGGCAAGCAATATTTCATTCAAAAGCTGTTGTATCACTCAGTCTACTACTAGATTTATTTGTACCATGTCAAAATATCGACTGACCATCATTTCGAATGATTACGTCAATAAAACATCATAAAAACACTGTGCTGATGTCACAAGTTATTAATTTACAATTTAGGGTTTATTAAATGGCGGAGTTGACATAGACTATAGATTAGCACAATCTCAAACACAAACTACTATTTTTAACTTTAAACTTGTCCTTGTGGTTAGAAATATTTGACTGCTAATTCCAAATCATAAATATCTCAATATCTAGTAACACTAGTACTGAATCCGCCAAATAGTATCAATATAACAATAGTTGTGATTCACCCATTTCAAGTTTACCTTCATTTAACTTTCGATTATGTTATTGCCATATTCTGTCTATTTGCAAAATAACAAATGAGAGTTTTTAATTAAAAACTATCAGTGAAAAACAACAATTGTCCATATATCACCACCACTGGTATATTGCAAAAAGTTCCTTTTGTATATATACAATTCTCTTCACTTAAATAAATAGGAATCAAAAATAAATTAAGTAAAATGGAAACCAAATTTAAATACTTTATACAGAGGTCCCAAAAATGTAGAGGGATATGTATCCTAATAGCCACGAAGACCATTGTAGACTTTGTTGTTTGAGCTTTGGTTGAGGATCTTCTTGAGGGCTGCAACGATAAAAAAAGATAAAAGTTGATCAACAATGAATTACTGTAACTACTACTAAGTCACTGACGAATAAATAAAAAAGAAACAACAATGATAATGTTCTGACGCTATTTTCTTGTGGCATCTTAATGCGAATTACTATTTTTGTTGGAAATATGCCACACTTTTACTTTAAAATAAGTTTATCAAAGAAATAGAACACATAGAGAAATAGAACAATAAGCACATAGAACATAAGAACTATGTTAGCTCCAGGAAAAATTCTAGAAATAAGAAAAGAGTTCAAAAAGTATAAAACAGATATTGCAGCACTGCAATAATTACGCTGGGAGGGACAAGGACAGATTGATAAACAAGATATTCAGGAGAAAAGAAGCAAGGGCAAAATGGGGGTGGGATTCATGATACCAAGGCACCTAAAAGAGAAAATTATAAATTTAAATCCAATATGTGAAAGGATGGCCTATGTTCGAGTCAACAACAAACCATTTAATATATTAGTCTTGAACTTATACGCCTGCATAGAAACAAGCAATGCAGATGAAAAAGAAATCTTTTATGATAGAGTCGAAGGGAGATAGAAATAATACCCAAAGAAGATGTCATATTTGTACTAGGAGACCTCAATGCCCAGATTGGAAAAGAAGACTTTTTACAACAAATTACAGGAAAGCATACAATACACAAAAACATGAATGACAAAGGGCAAAGACTATGTAATCTAGCAACATGAACAAATTTGTTAATAAGCTCAACAAAATTTGAACACCCTAAAATACACAAGGTAACATGGAGGTCACCAGATCAGAAAACATACAGTCAAATTAATCACATAATGATTAATAAACGAAAACAATTGTCAATAAAATGTGAATGTGAATAAAATCAGTAAGAAAAAATATGAAGAGGTAGTAATAGTTCAAATAAAAGAGAAATATAAAGTAGAAGATATAAACATAGAATGGGAGACAATCAAAAAATCAATAGAAGTAGGTGCAAATATGCAGTTAGGTAAAAGTCAGGATAAAACAAAAAACGAATGGTATAACCAAGAATGTAGAGAAATAACAGAAAAAAAGTGCAAGCCAGGATTAAATGGCTAAGAAAAGATAAAGATGACAGAGGAGAATATGAAAAATTAAGAAAGAATGCTAAGAAAGTGATAAAGCAAAATAAAAGAAGATGGATAGATGACAAAAATATATGGATAGATAGACAAAATGCAGGAAATAGAGCAGGAAAGAACAAACAGAAATATGAAACCATTTTTACAAAAAGATTAAAGAACAAAACAAAAAATACAAAGGTAAAACAAACGGAATAAAAAATAGAGAGGGAACAGTGATAATAGAGGATGAAGAATAAAGCAAGTATGGAGGGATTACTACAGAGAGCTTTTGACAGAGGAAATAACAGGAGAAGAAATGCATAACGAGGAGGAAACTAAGATTAAATCAAGACAAGACAAAAATATGCCAGTGAAAGAAAAAATCAAAATAGAAAGAAAGAAATAAAATACTTTAAATACCTAGGAGTTACAATAAGCAAAACTGGAGAAAGGACTTCTGCAATAAAAGAAAAAATATTAGCAGCGAGTAAAGCCTATTTTGCAAACAAAAGATTACTTAAAAGCAAAACACTGACTAAGATGAACATTTATAACCGAGAAAAAGATTTTGAGAATCATACTGGGACCAATCAGGACAGAGCAAAATGAATATAGAAGAACAAATGCAGAACAATGCAGAGTTAGATGGTTAGGTCACATTTGGCAAGCAGGAGATGAGGCAGTGGCATACACAATGATAGAATGGAATCCAGGAGGAAGATAGAGAAGGGGAAGACCAAGATGACTGATCCACCCAAGAAATAGGATCTAGAAAGCATTTGTGGTTTAACCCCACTGTGGAATACAGTTTTAGTATATTTCCTAATCTATTATATTATTCTAATTAATCTATATTATATATATATATATATATATATATATATATATATATATATATATATATATATATAAATAATAATTCATAGATTTACTATGTCCAGGAACGAATTCTGCATTATTATAAAAACATATGCCTCTCCAGAACATTATGATTCATCACAAAATGAGTCTGTAGGTATATTTTAGACAGCAAACCTCTCTTTCCTAACTTTCCTTAAATTTGATGAAGTACAACTGGTGAATTCAGAATTATTTTTGCCAGAAAACAAAATCCATTCTTCAATATTCCAATTTATAACAATTTTATAAAGCTAGAGGTCTTCGACAGGTTATTTTTAATTAGTTATGTGCCTTTTACATACATTTCATACAGTAATTGGTAAAGTATTAGCTGTACACTTAGCTCTACATAGTTTAGCATAGCCATACAGTCCAGCTCTTTTTCTTTTTCTACTCTATGGATAATTTAAATTAACACTTTCAGTGTGGAAGCCGTTATATAGAGTCTTTCTTATTTCACACTCTGCATGGATATAACATAATATAATATCAAAAAAGTTCAAGTCATACAAATGAACATTCTGAAATATAGTCCCACTGCGAAAGTTTTACAAGAAATATCTTTCAGAAATTTTCTACCCCTGAGACACAGTAATATCTATCACACAGTTAGATAAACAGTCACTCATTTATCATATAATATACCAAACATCCTAAACTAATAAAAAATTTCATTACCTTCTTTATCCTCTTCAGTCAGTTCTTGTTTGGGAAATTCAACATCAAAGGTGATAAAAAGTATACCATGTAGATTATTGTTTTCGTAATTGGGCATACCTTCACCTTTCTTGCGAATGCGAGCTCCTGGCCATGTGATTTTATCTCTAACAATACTGACTTTGTGTCCATCCAGGTGAGGTATTTCCATTGTGAAACCAGTGAGCGCATCCTAGAAACAAGGCAGAATATGAGTAAATATTAAGTAAACTATTTAACATACAACACAAATGTACTACTAAGTTATCATTTATTATACCAACAAAAAGAAGAACACCTAAACAAAATACCATTGTACACCTATTAAGGTCTAACGTAAGAAATGTTGAAGGAAACTGAAATTTAGGATGCTGAATGTCTTTGAATAAAAATTTCAATAAAACTGTGTTGTAAATATATCTTTATAAAAATGCTCACACCAAATTGCAAATTACAATGTAGAAAATACTAAAAGAAAATAAGATGTTACAGTGAGATCATTTTTTAACAATATATTTTACCTGTAAACTAATGGTAATATTGGTATACAAGTCATCTCCCCTCCTTTCAAATACTTTGTGAGGCTGTGTTTTAATCTTCAAAATTAAATCCCCAGGTTCCCCATCCAAATGGGGCTCTCCTTCCGCTATAAACTTAGTTTCCTGTCCATCTATCATACCTTGCTCAACTTCCATCTCTAATAATCTCTCCTCATTGACTAACTTAACATTAGGACACTCATCACATACAGTTTGCTGCATCATTTGGAATCTTCCAGGACCCAAACTTTTGGTGATCATTTCTTGTCTGCAATTACACTTGCGTGTACCTCTTGAGGGTTTTAAAACAGGTTTGTTCCTGGTGATTTCAATGAAAGTACCACTGTAAAGATCTTCTAGAGTTACATATACATCCATAACTAAGTCTGCTCCTCTAGGAGTTTCATGTTTTTGTTCGCCGCCTCCAAAATGGAAGCCAAAGTCTCCAAAGAAGCTTGCAAAAGGATCCATACCTACAAAATTAGGAAAATATGTTACCAATGTCATCACTAACGCTATTTATTATCAATATAACACATGTTATGAAATATAGATTAAGGTTTCATCCCTTTGGACCATTGTTTGCTTACAATTTGATCTTTTAACTGTAAAATTTTGTATTCTTTCCATATTCTGTGACAAAAAAGGCAAAATTTCAGTCATTGATGAACAACATGCCAGGCAAATATGGACAATTAACTGAATAAACAAGAGGTTATGATATAATGGTGGCATTAATTTTTAAATTAAAACGATTTTTATCAGCACTGCATTTATATGGAAATTAAAACTAAACTAATTAATTTACTGTTGTTAATCATGTAAATATTAATTTAAAATGTTAATATATCAGTGATACATTGAGTTATCCATGTTTTCTCATTCTTTGTAAGATAAAAATGTAAGGCTTACTCACCTCCATCCATCATTCCATCCTTCTGCAAGCAGTCTTCACCACATCTATCATACTTCTTTCTTTTGTCCTCATCAGATAGGACTTCATAAGCTGCCCCTAAATCTTGGAATTTTTGCGAAGCATTGGGATCGTCTTGGTTTTTATCGGGATGTAATTCTTTGGCTAATTTTCTATAAGCTTTTTTAATGTCATGTAAACTAGCTGACTTGGATACACCTAAGATTTGATAGAAGTCCCTTCCAGCCGAGACAACGGCGATGGAAACTACACTTAACAGCAGGAAAGTCTGGAGGAATAAAAGATTCATGATGAATATAACTATCACTATCCTATTTCTTTGAGAAATTTGTTACTTTTAGTACATATTATTATCACAGGTTCACTTAAAAAACAGCCCTAAACACTCATCACATCTTCTGAAACGACTTGTCAAAATGCAACGAGAGCAAACCTCTTAATTCGTAGCCAATGAACGGTCTCTCCAACATGTGGAGAGCTGTTATTGGTCCAAATATCTTATTCAGTGCTGGCCTCTTCCTAGATAAGGAACTAATAACCAATTCATAATAGACATTTGGAAAATAAAATAATTGTTTTATTAAAGAATATGTTTAAATTGTTTTGTTCCTCTTAAGAAACTATTCGATTTAAAAGCTTTGAAGAATCGTGAATACATTGTTACAATTTTTATTCATAATTAATAAGCGTATGACCATGACAATTTAAATAATGTTTATCAGAATATTGTAATCGATCTATTGTGTTACAGCATATAAAAAACTTGGTAAATTTTTTGATAATATACACAGTGTTTCAACAGTATATGCCAAAATAATTTAAGAGGAGAGACATGTATATATAATCTTCCTATTAGCTGTGCTTACATAATATCTAGCATCATTTTAATACCTAATTATTTAAAAACTATTTTTTCTCTGTACCTTTTTTAATTTATTCAGCCTAAGTATTTTTTCTTCTCATATACATTTAATCTGATTCAAATCTTCTACTTTATTTTTTCTGAAATTGGTTGGATTCAGCGGTGTCCAGACTTAAGCTCACTCGATTTTTTACTTGTGAGGTTACTTAGAGCAAAAGGTAACCCTTCAACAGTCATTTCAAAATATTTTAATATATTCAAATAGGTTATATACGGTTATATGTATGAACAGAGATCGAGCCTAGGAGTGAGACAAGGATGCATTCTGTCCCCGGTGTTACTTAATATATACTCTAAATATATCTGAGCAAGTGCTGGGAGAACTACAAGAAGGGTATTAGTCAACGGAATACGTCTAAACAACATTAGATATGCCGACCACGGAGTAGTTTTTGCAGATAGTCTGGACGGTTTGCAAATAATAATGTCGCGTATATCAGATATAAGTAGCAGAGAACACCGACTTGATCTTAATACGAAGAAAACAAAGTACCATGGTAGTCAGTAAGCGCGAAATATTAAATACACAGATTTTGGTTAACCAACATCCAATTGACAGAGTGGACAGGTACACATACCTTGGTACCAACATTAACAGCCAATGGGATCACTCCAGTGAGATAAAACAACGCATAGGAAAAGTGAGATCAGCGTTCATAATGATGAAGTCTCTTTTCAGAAGTCATGATTTACCACTTGCTACCAAAATCTCTCATTAGATGCTATGTATTTTCTACCTTATTATACGGAGTCGAGGCCTGGACACTTTCCGAAGCTTCCTTAAGAAAACTCGAGGTATTCGAGATGTGGTGTTACAGATGTATCTTAAGAATTTCATGGGTGGATCGTGTGACTAATGTTGAGGACCTACGTAGAATAGGCAAGGAATGCGAGATTATTAACACCATCAAAGAGCGCAAACTAGAATATCTTGGCCACGTTATGAGGAATGAACAGAGATACGGCTTGTTGCAACTCATTCTTCAGGGCAAGGTATTTAGAAAGAGAGGACCAGGAAGAAAGTGAAGGAATTCGAGGCCACTTTTTGTACACACCAAGTTTTGCAGATGACCAAGTGGTTACGACTCAAGATGAAGAAGATCTATCCTATATGGTCCGAAAACTAGAAGAGAAATTCACAAAAAATGGATTGGAAATAAACCTAGAAAATACCGAATACTTAATAACAAAACAAGAACCTGAGAAACTTGGAAGTGGACGAAGGTAGAGAAATTAACGACATTTGAAAAGTTAAATACTTTGTCTTTATAATCTCAAAGAATGGAACAACTGAGCAAGAGATAGCTAGCAGATTAGCACAGACAAGTACATGTATCAAACTAATGAACGGGGTACTATGGGATACATAGATTACTACATACTACCTTGGTAGTGCAATGTCTTATGGAGCAGAGAATTAGTTAATAAACAAATGAAACAGGTCCAAAATTACATCAACCGAAATGCAAATTATAAGAAGAAGCTGTAGAGTTATAAGACTGGCTCATATTAGAAATGAGGAGATAAAAAGAAGAATAGCAGTAGAACAAGACACACTAAGATACATTGAAGGAAAAAATTTAATTCAGTATGTTTACGTGAGAATAGCAGATCGTAGAACGTAGATATCAAAGATTTCGAATTGGAGCCTCTAATATGAGGCAGACCCGAAGATCATGGATGGATGAAGCGGATGAGGCCATAGAAAGATGAGATCTTAGAAATGAAGAGTGGCAGGATAGAAATGATTGAAGATGTTGAATGAAAAAAAGGAAAGCGGTGACCGCAGTAGAAATCCTTATTTAAATAAATATAAATATCTACATTATTCCATGTGGGATATTACAAACAATATATGAGACGAAGTACAAAGCTGTTAGAAGTTGAGTGAAAGAGAGATGAAAACCAAAGGGAAGATAGAAAGACTGTGTGGCACAGAAGTTGAGAGAGAAAGGTATAAATGAAAAGGACACGATGGACAGGAATGAGTGACGAACACAAGAGCAAGGAATAGCGACCCCTAAAAGGAAAAATCTGAGGAAGAAGAAGAAGGAGAAGAATGTAAATATTCCATAATCCAATAGAAAAATGAGTCATTTTAATTATCTAGGGTTTTCCAGAAGTTTCGAAAAAATATTCGCATAGTATCTGCAGACTCCGTACAGCCTCAAATCCTCACGGTAAGTACTAGTTTAGGTATGCAATGTAATCCCTAACCTTTGAAGCTGGGTAGACTGTGGGTAATTGGATTATTATCTGCTCACAGGCCATGGCTGCTTCCGTAGCTACCTTTTCATGTTTAGTACAGTGGGTGTGGTTTTCCCGATGAATGTGTGGAAGAAAGAATGCTCATCGGGTGACAGAAGGGCATCAGGAGGGATGTTTTGCCTTAACCAGCCCTGCCATCGTAATATCTGGAGTGACAGAAGAGAGGAGAGGTAATACTGACCATTCCGAAGTGGTGACGGGACGAAGTATCAATGGTCTAACTCCCCCAGGCATCTTGCCCTGGCACAAATTTCCTTCTTCTCTTTAAAGATATAAAAAAAGGGTATATAATGTAAACAAATGAACTATCGCAATAAAGTTGTGTAAGGAACGCACATCAAAATTCTAACTTTAAAGTTATATATCTTAAAATGTTTTTTATAATATGCTGGAATTAGTTTTATAAGTGAACTACGAGAAACATTTTGTTTCCAAGTATTAAAAAAAAAAGATTTTGAAAACAAGTTTCAAACTATGAGCTAAACCACAAATATTTAAATAAAATATTTCTATGTATCTAGAAAGTATCGCAGTTCAAAAACAAACTATCACAAGTAGATTAGGCATATTTAAATAGAGCAAACCTACAAATGCGACTTATAAATCACTGATAAATAAAATAAAGAAAACCAAATATGACTCTCAAAATTTGCATTATGTCTTAATTAAAATTAAACTGAAGTAATCCTTTTGTATCCAACACTATAATCTTATTATGTTTATATTCATGTATGTGTTCATTTGATACACACACAGATCGTGCAACATCGTTGATAAAACTTTTGTGGGTGTATAATTTTATCAAATTTCCTCTTTAGCAAACGAAACTAAAAAAGTGTATCAGGTATCCCATAAGATTGTGTTTGTTTTTGTGTATTTTGTGGTAAGTTTTTAATTTTGAATCAGTTCGATTTTAGAAATTACCTTTCTTCTTCTTTAAATTAATTCGTTGTGACTTTATGCTATTGAGAGTACAGAAATCTTATGTTATACGCAGCAATCATCATTGTTTTCGGTATTTGAACACTTTGTCACATAAAACAATAGATGGGAGCACATAGATAAAAAGGCAGTCGAATCACTACGATATTGAAATGAAAATCGCTAAGTGAAGACCAAATACCGAATAAATACACAAATATTGCTCAAAGAATCGATTCATAATAAAGCATCTGTAAAGATAAAAATCAATCTGCATATCAATCAATCAGTCGTGGTTAAGTTTTAGCCGAGTTAGCAAAGAGGAATGTACTTTATTATAGTTGTTATTAAAATAAGGAATGTTTTGCATGAATGAATAGAAAAGAAATGGTTTCTTGGTGTCTTTGCAATCTCTTATATTTTAATCTGCTAATCTTTCCCTGTCAATACTCATTAGAATAGAAAATAGATCTTTTAAGTTGATAATTTTTCGACTGTTCTAACAACCATTCAAATTTCGTCATTTTGTGTCATGTGGAACAATTTTACCCAATCATGTCAACATTAGACTGATAATTGCATTCAGTGCAATTTTCAATCCCTATGACAACACGATCGAGTTTGACAACTTCATCCAAATAAATTTCAAAATGTCACGTTTCGGCAATGAGAATGTTCAAAGTATAAATGCAATTATATATATTCTATATAATAGAAGAACAACAATTGCTAAAAATTACTGGTCATGGCAATCAGAATTCTATAAAACCATACTTGAATCTCGATCAAGAACACCACAACAAGATTATAAATATTATGCGTGGTAATAGATCTTCTATAGTAGAGAACAGCAACGAATCTAATGTTAACTTAAATTTTAATAATTATACTTTCACTAACTGTACTTTTAATAAATAAATGTTTCGTTATGTTGAGTTATGATTATGAGTTATTTTTTTTTCGAAAAATTATCCGCCGAATATCCCTCGGACATTGATGAATGCCTCATAATTTCATGACAAATTTCTGATGCTCGTTGCTTGGTAACAGCGCTCAGCCTTCGGCTTCGTGCTGTTACCAAGGAACGAGCTTTCGATTGTCATGAAATTATCTCGTCTGTTATCAATGTCCAAAGTAACTGTTTTCTTTGTGAATTTTAGTTTACGTAATAATTTTTTGATATCAAGCAAAACGGAGTTTTGGAAATTATCTAATGGATGGCTACAAATAGCTTATAATAGTGCCTAGAGTAAAAAATTTGACACTATTACAGTATTCTTACAATAATTAGTGACACACCAAGTTAGAGTTT